TAAAATCAGTTTAAATTTATACTTAGAAAAAAATGAAGTTAAAAAAATTTTACTCTATATAAATTAGAAAACAAGTTCTTTCAATAACCAGTTCCTAAGCTATAATGGAGGTAATCAAAATATTTCTGATGTGTTATGTACATTCCAAAACATAATAAAGTAGGTTTAAATGAAGAGACAAGGGATTAATGGGAAGAAGGGGCTCTTTAATTTGTTTTTAAGAATAATTTACAAAATGACCTAGTATTAGCTGCATAAAATCTAAACAAGGAAGCAGCATATTTTGTTTTCAGTGTCTGAATGTTCTGCCTTTCTGTGTCCAGTATACAAAAATGAGAGAAAGAAGGTTAAAAGAATATGGGAAGTTATTTTATCAACAATCTGTGAAAGGTAGAATCACAGAACTGAGATCCTAAACTAAAAAAACAAAAACACAAGAAAAATTCTACAATGTAAGTTGGCATGATATATTCATTTATCGTTTTGTTTCTGTTTTTGCAATGTTAAGCTTGAACCCAGAACCGTGTGCATGCTAGTCAGGCACTTTACCAGGCTACCTCAATCTATTGCCATATTTAATTTTCAGATACATATTTAAGAGTTGTTCATTAATGCACAAAAGTAGGAAAGTTATCTGAGATTCAGGATGCCTCTTTTTAGAGAATGGTAGGGACTACTTTCTATAATATCAGGATTTATGAACTAAAATAAGAGTCTAATACCTCTGAAGGAAGATGCTTATATTTTTAATATATATATTTTTATATATATTTTAATCCACCATCATAAACACCCATTAATCATATGATGGTAGGGTGACCCCGAGGAGAATATTAATGATTCAGCCATTTGCTCCTATCATTTTTTGCTAAATACAAAAGAATCAACTCTATGAAACACAAAGGTTAAAGTTAGAATGAAATAAGCATTACCGTGAAAAAGAAGATACTAACAGGTAAAATTGATTATCCAAAATTATGTGGAAAAAGGCTTTAATTAAAGTTTGTTAACTTAGTATTTTTTACTTCAAAACAATTTATAAAACCAGAGAGAAAGGAACTCAGGATTGTATTTGAGTTTCAAAGTCTCTGAATTTGGAGCACTCCTTTCTGTCCCAATCTTCCTCCCCTTTTACCACAGACCTCCCTAACACCTGCTTTGGGATCTGGTTTTTTCCTTTCAATCCAATCTTATCTGTTTTCTACCTTTCAGAAATTCATCAAGATTTATGATCCTTTGATGATACTCTTGTTTTCTAGCACTGATAAAATTTTATTATCTGTTTTTAAAATAGCTCATCCTTCATTTCTGGAAATCTGGAAAAAGAATGGAAGGAAATCAGTTTTTAAGTGGACAGTGAATCTGGAAAGGCAGCAGGAAGCTACAATGTGGAATCTTGAAAACCTGGTTATGGAGTAACTATGTTATTCTATGATAAAATAGGTTAAGATCAAACTAAATACAAAGAAAAAAATGATGGAGAATATGAAACTTCACCAAAGATATTTTGTAGCTGGGGGCAGAACTCAAGTGGTGGAGCACTTGCCTACCATGCTTGAAGCCCTGGGTTCAATCTCCAGAATAACAAAATAATAATAGTAATAGTAACTTTGTAAAGGGTTAACCAAGGCAATTTATCAAATAAATTAGAGGAGAGTTAGTAAGCTGTTAAAAATGGTTCAGGTGAGAAGCTACATAGTCCGGAACTAGGGTAGAGACAGCCTAAAGCCCCTTTCACTAATTCAGATCAACAGCATATACTGAGGCAAGGGTGGGTGGGAAATCAGTCACACTATGACACTGCAGACACTTAAGCCCAGAAGTCATAAACTGGCCACCCACAGCCCACAGATTATGCCTCACCAAAATGTTCCATTTGATCTTCGTTATGTTTGAAATGTATGCTTTTGACTTAATTGCCAACATTTAAAATTCAGAGATTTCTCTGCTCAAATCTCAATTTTTTACTTTTCTTGAAATATCAAAAGACCTGGGAACATTTTGGGCCCATGTTTGGTCCTTGGCTGCTTGACTCATTTACATTACCACCCTGGTCTCCACAGACATTTGAGTTTGTGCCCTAAAGCAACAGATATTTTTTTTGACCAGTGTTTTATTTGTTTTGATATTCTCTATGGGCCAATGAAAGAGAACTGTCCCTAATTAAAGCTGTAACTCTCACTCCAAAGAATAGGGAGTTTTCCTAACTAGCAGCCAATGGCAGCGAACCAGAAACTAGACTTAGTCATATCTTTTTTTTTTTTTTTTCGGTACTGGGGTTTGAACTCAGGGCCTTCATGGGACACTCCACCAGCCCTATTATTTTTGTTGCTGTTGTTATAGTTTTTTTCAAGGTAGGGTCTCACAAACTATTCACCCAGGCTGGCTTTAAACCGTGATCTTCAGGATCTCTGCCTCCTGAGTAGCTAGGATTATAAGCGAGCGACAGCATCTGGCTATGTCATACTTTTTTAAGAGTCAGACCAGTCAGGCACTGGTGCTCATGCCTGTAAACCTAGCTTCTCAGAAGGCAGAGTTCAAAGCCAGTCCCAAGCAAATAATTTCTGAGATCCTATTTCAAAAAAACCATCACAAAAATGGAATGACAGGTGGCTAAGGTAGTAAGAACACCTGCCTAGCTATCATTAGGCCCTGAGTTCAAACTCTAGTGCCAACAAAAAAGAAAGTAAAAGTCAGATCCTGAAAAATGATTCTTGGGGCATTAGTTTACAACATCAGTGAGGAAACTTCTGACAGATATAATCCCCTCCTAAATATTCTCCCTAGCCCCAGTACCAGTTCATCTCTATACACAAGCATATACAGTCCCAGATCCCTCTCTACCTTCCCCTTCCCCATTTTATTAGATCACTGAAATGGTAACAGTCATCCCTCCTCCAGCTTAAGATAAAAGAAAATTTCTTTAAAAAAAAAAATCTGATGAAAAGGGAATGTTCCCAAGTAATAACCGCACAAATTATTTCAAATCAAAAGGGATCAGAAACCTATAGTTGGGCTGGGGGTGTATTCAGTGATAGAGGTTAGTAGGTAGTAGACCTTAGGTTCAATTCCCAACACCCCCCAAAAAAGAAGGGGGAGGGGAAGGAAAGAAAAGGGGAAGGGGAGAGGTGAACAAAGGGGGAAGAGGAGTTAAGGGGGAGGGAGAGGAGAAGGAAAAAAGAAATAAGATGAATGAATATTCAAACACCAAGAGTAAACAAAACTATAAAATATCCAGGAATGAGGTTAATAATAGGTACAAACAAGGTCATATTATCCTGGACAGGACACTACTCAGGCTGAGACTATGGGACTGGAACCTACCTCAAAAGATTGACCCTACACCTCTGAGCCATCCATGATCTGCCCTGTGAAAACTTACTGCAGGCATATATCAGGGGGAAATCATGGCTTCTCTCCACAATAATACTCTGGATCTGATCAAGGCCTGCATCTCCCTGGCTCAGTTCTAAATCATGGAAATCACTTTAAAAGTCATCAAGCTTCTCAGAGAGCACACAGAAAACAGAACTACCCAAAGAAAATCAGGATTCGCCACCCTTCAGGAACCAAATAAAATGTCAAGTAGAGAAAACTTATTTATTCTTTAAGAAAGATTTCAAGAAACATTTTTTGTGGAACTCGGCTTTTTTAATATAATTTTATTTTGATTAGCATATTATCATTGTACAAAGGGTACATCTTGACATTTACAAAGTGCTTACAATATATTTAAGTTAAATTTGCCCCCTCCATCATTCTCCATCATATCCTCTCCCACCATCCTGGAATAGTTTCAACAGGTCTCATTTTTCCATTTATATACGTGAGTACATAATATTCCACCATAGTCACTCTCCTTCACTCTTTCCTTATATCTTCCACACACACACCTTTACTGATACCAATCCCCAGACAGGAACTGTTTTACCTTCCTGTCCTTCATTTTTTGTTGTTTGTGTGTGTGTCCTTCATTTCTTAAAAAAGACACTTGTTTAAAATAGTTATGCAGGCAGTTTCATTATAACATTTCTGTGTAATATGTACTCTATCCTAAATTGGTTCATCTGCACCATTTTCTGCCTTCTACCCTAAGTTTCCTTCTTATAGTGACTTCAACAGATTTAAATACTTTATATTCATTCTTATATAGAAAGTACATCAATCATAATTCACCTTCTATACTTCCTTCTTTTATTCTCCCCCTCTGGTTAATACCCTCCCCTTAGCATGTCCTGTCTCATTATTGTCTTTCATTGTTCAGTGGGATTTTGGTCTTGGCATTGTACCTGTACACGCTTTGGCACTGGGGCTTGAACTTAGGGCCTCATGCTTGCTAGGCAGGCACTCTACCACTTGATCACTTTGTCAGCCCTTTTAGTGCTGGGTATTTTCAAGATAGGGCCCAGGAAGCATTTGCCTGCGTTGGCCTCCAACTGCAGTCCTCCTGATCTCTGCCTCCTGAGTAGGTAGGAGCTCCCAGCTCCCAGCTAAGGAACTTTTAAAAGGCTTTTGGCAGAGAATTTGACGAATTATATAAAAGAATATATAGGCCATTTATATTATTTCTGAGTAGAATCAAAGGAAAAAGTGTTTTGGAATGTCTTCACATTATTAATAGAAATCCCCAATTACTGCAGCCCTGTGCTTGTTTCACTGCGATTTGATTTCAGGATAATCTTTTTGCTCTCTGAACAAAAATAGTTTCCTAAGAATATTTATAGTGTAAACAAATGGTCTGAAGCACGAGAGAAGTGTCTGTTTACATTCAGATAATTAATATGCTAAGCATTCTTATCTATTAAATTAGCCTATCTAAAGATTTTTCTAGATAATACTTCATTACCCTAATAATAATGAGTATATATAAATGAAACAGTAAAACGGACATCTGTTTTAAAATGCTCTTCAATTTAAGCATTTCATTACTGAGATTTTATATGAGAAAACTAAATAAATAACCCTCCATTGAAATAGGAAATAAAAATTTGTATTCTTACCTTTGATGTTCTCCATTCCCAACCATCACCTATCTGTTGTGAATGTTTAATGAATTCTGAACAATAATGCTGGAATGTTTTTTCTCCAAAGAACTCATCTCCTTCCATTTAAATATCTGCAATTTAAAAAGTCTCAGCATTAGCATCAGCTTTAAAATGAGTATTAAAAGGAATTCTGCTAAATGGTTTATTTCTTTAAACAAACCAAAGACTGGGCTGTACAATGACAAATAACTTCAGGGCCAATCAGGAAAAATATATTCTGTTTCCATCTTTCTCACCTGACCTCATTTTTTTTTTCAAAGTGGACTTTTATTGAGGTAACAAAAAAAACCCACAAAATTCTCACCAACCAACCACCTGACCCTTATAAACTTGGTTGAAACTCTGGTCCCCATATATGTGTAAGTACAACATAACACATCCCAACAATAACAGAGCCCAACTGGAACATTTGACAATTAACAGAAAGACAATTTTCCCTTTCCCAAAAATGTTTTCAAAATTTTGAGTTCACACTGACCGCTTCTTAATCAAACTAGTCTAAAACTAGTCTTACTTTGTTGTTTTTATGGTCCAGGGCTCACACATGCTAAACATGCCCTCTATCCCTCAGCCCTACTGTATGTTTTTTGACAAGAGTGATGTTGGTTATAGCATAAACACTTGTGGATGGTTACATTATATTTTAGTAGGACCTATATTTAATAAAGCTCATCCATATCTTTAGTTTAAAGGACTTAATTTTTTTTTGTGGTTTTTTTTTTTTCCTTTTTCTTTTATTATTCATATGTGCATACAAGGCTTGGTTCATTTCTCCCCCCTGCCCCCACCCCCTCCCTTACCATCCACTGCGTCCCCTCCCTCTCCCCGGCCCTCAATACCCAGCAGAAATTATTTTGCCCTTATTTCTAATTTTGTTGTAGAGAGAGTATAAGCAATAATAGGAAGGAACAAGGGTTTTTGCTGGTTGAGATAAGGATAGCTATACAGGGCATTGACTCACATTGATTTCCTGTGCGTGGGTGTTACCTTCTTGATTAATTCTTCTTGAACTAACCTTTTCTCTAGTACCTGTTCCCCTTTTCCTGTTGGTCTCAGTTGCTTTTAAGGTATCTGCTTTAGTTTCTCTGCGTTGAGGGCAACAAATGCTAGCTAATTTTTTAGGTGTCTTACCTATCCTCACCCCTCCCTTGTGTGCTCTCGCTTTTATCATGTGCTCATAGTCCAATCCCCTTGTTGTGTTTACCCTTGATCTAATGTCCACATATGAGGGAGAACATATGATTTTTGGTCTTTTGGGCCAGGCTAACCTCACTCAGAATGATGTTCTCCAATTCCATCCATTTACCAGCGAATGATAACACTTCATTGTTCTTCGTGGCTGCATAAAATTCCATTGTGTATAGATACCACATTTTCTTAATCCTTTCGTCAGTGGTGGAGCATCTTGGCTGTTTCCATAACTTGGCTTTTGTGAATAGTGCCGCAATAAACATGGGTGTGCAGGTGCCTCTGGAGTAACCTGTGTCACAGTCTTTTGGGTATATCCCCAAGAGTGATATTACTGGATCAAATGGTAGATCGATGTCTAGCTTTTTAAGTAGCCTCCAAATTTTTTTCCAGAGTGGTTGTACTAGTCTACATTCCCACCAACAGTGTACGAGGGTTCCTTTTTCCCCCGCATCCTCGCCAACACCTGTTGG